TATTCATCTCAGTGAGAGCCTCTTGAGACCCTCCGATTTGGTTCCCGCGATCTTCATCACGATATCCACTGACATTAAAGTTCACAGCTGCTGGCAACTCCTCGGGATCAGTCTCGTGATTCGGATCAGTGCAGCCTACCATTTCGGGATATGGTACTACTGTCAAAAAAACTAAAACTCCTGTAGCTCCTAAGATTGCGGCGGGAACCATGAATGACCAGCCCCAATTTGTGTCAACCCAAATTCCTGCAATTATGGAGCCCAAAATGTTGCCGACAAATAAATGTGAGTTCCAAATACCCATAATAAAGCCTCTCTGACCATATCCGAACCAGTGTCCGAGAATGGGCACTACTGATGGCCAGCCTGAGCTCTGGGCGAATCCGTTTAGAATCTGCACCATAATAAAGTATCCGAGGTCGTGTATGTCAATGAAGCGCGCAAGACCAAACATTGCAGTAAACAAGCAACTAAAAATACCAGTGCAATAGCTGACCATTTCCACAAAAATTTAACCATGCTTATTACGATTGTTTTTCTGTTTGTTTTGGGAGAGTAAATTGAAACGATAATCTTGTTATCAAAGTGTTTTCTGAGGCAATTTTTGTAGGTCGTTTCAGGTGAAAAACTAAGGGCTCCTGATCCTTTCCCCAACCTGCAAAATTTTATAAATAAAAACTTTGTTCACATTGTTCGATTGTTATGAAAATTGACATACGGACTAATTAGGTTATGGCAAACATATTTGGTCTTCATAATTAACCTTGTAAGGTGGGAGAAAAGGAAAAAGAGGCAACCTAACTTTACAAGATAGTTTTAGAAAAAATGTTTTAACCTTAATAGCATCCCAGTAGAGAGAAAATATCTCAGATCCGTTCTTTCAGCTAGATGCCCAGAAAAGAACATCCCAAAAGCATAAGCGAACAGAAAACTCGCATCCAGAGCAGCGATTTCTGAGTCCTCCTTGTCTTGGCCAAAAGGACCCCAAGGCAATTCCCCATTCTGCGAACCATTCGTCAAAACTGGGGTTACGATTCCGACCACTTTCCGAGACAAGTGAAAACTTACATACGTCACAAAGGTCAAGACTAAAGTAACATACTTGAAGATTTTCGTCCGTTCTTGGGTTCCCGATAATCTGGTACAAGTAAAAATCAAGTTGGCAATTAGGGGGAGACTAGGTGTTTCGACGGTTGGAACATGATTTTCTGTGACCTCGAAATTTAAAGGCTCGTTGTGACTAGCTGACTGCACTAATATATCCATTATTTAGTCGATTCAACAAACAGAACATCTGAATGACTACTTCAATATAATGAAAGATGATTGAACTGAATAGGTGTTGCAATTAGCTGGACTTTGGGATTTAAGTTTGACCATGCCAAGGCTCAAAAACTTCAATCCGTATTCCTTGCTTCGAATGTTGTTCTTTATTGATGAGTCAATTTTAGTTTTGAATGTCGTATTTTATTTCGTTGACATAATGATTTAAGCAACAGAATATACCGATTCTAAACGTTTCTGAATTCAAGAGTTAGAGCCAAGCGATACTAGTAAGACCTTTCAATGTCAACAATTTAGTTTGTGTTTCTACTTGCTCACTTGTTCTCATCATTTGAAAAAGGGGAGAAACTCTGTATTCGGGTTTGTTTTATTTTTTTTTTGTTTTCCACGCAAATTCATCCATAACAAATAACCATCGGAGATAGTTGAGTCATATTTAAGCCCTTACAGTCGTGATTTCAACGACATTCAAATATTTCAAAAAAAAATCAGTGTCGAGAAAAACCGGTTTGAAAATTTTGGTTTTTTTCTTAATTCGAGCGAATTAAGCGAGCAAGCAGGCTTTCAATAGCTTATTTTAATGAATTAAAACCTTACAATAGCTTAATTTAAAACGTAAAAGATTAGTTTTTTCGAGTAACATTAGTTTTTTGAGTGTTTTTGCGCCTTTTTATAAAATTGATTTTGATTTTTTTGTTTTGCTTGTCATTTTTACGACACTAATTTGAAAAAAACTCTTTTCTGTATTTTTTAGGACTGTGGTCGGAACATTCTGTGGTTCATGCACAAAAACCGGCTATACTTGTTGATTTTTTTCTACACATGGAATATGCTTTCTAAGTCTGTTTACTCAGTCTGTTGCACGTTTTCTGCAAATCTATGACAAATAATGATAAATTTTGAACTAATAATTATAAACACCTTGAAACAAAAAAACGCAATCAAAGAATCATGTGTTGTTTCTGGCAGTTTTTTCCTTGCTGCACTTCTGTTTACCCCCACCCTCCCACCCTCCAGTTTACACCTTTCCCAGTTTGCCCCTCCCCAGTTGACCGCCACCCACCCCAATTTACCCGCCCCAAAATTTTTTAACCAATGAGCGGGGGACTACTCAGCGTAAACTCCACCTCTTTACCTTTTCCCCCAAAATTTTGATCACCCCGCCACAAACTGGGGGAGGGGAGGGGGCAAACTGAGGGAAAGGGTAAATTGGCGAGGTGGAACTGACTGGGTAATATGGAGAAGACGAAACTTCCCTTTTTTCGATAAAAGATACTTTTACGCAAACAAGCCAAGCAAAATAATTGATTAGTAAAATAGCAATCAAACAAACTTTACAAAGCTGAATAAGAGTCAACAATCTTTCAGCAAACACCAGTTGAGCCGAATAAAACTAGATTTAGAAAAAAAATATGCAAGTCTTTCCTCTGAAACGCTAGTAACTTTGATCAAACCTGTTTAGAGGACAATAGAAGTCCGTGATGGGAAATCTAAGCCAGCAAAACTTGATCAGACCAACCAAAGTCCGACTATGCAATTTTAACTGGAACAAAATTGTTTTCATTCCGTAAAAAAACAAGATCTGGGACCCCAACCCCAAACCATAAGGTGCTAAGGAAATCACACTATTCTTTGCCAAGTAGAAAGAAACCTGGAAGCTGATAAGGTTCAATATTAGAGCAACGTAAACTTCTCAGAGATTTATAGAAAAACTTGTTTACGGAGAAGTCTAGTTCCCGATTACAAGAAACTTTCTCTCGCAAATATAATCAACTATTTATGATACAGAACTTGAAAAGGGCAACGTCTTGACTGTTCTGGTTGTCTTTTGATAAAACATAAAATTGGACTGTCAATATAAAATATTAGGAGAAGCTATTTGAGAAGTATAAGTCATTAGTATACTCAAAGCAGAATAGAAAACAAACTGACAAACAATTTGCTTGATTTCAATAAGGAAACATTTCGTATGCGAGCTAAAAACTTCTATTGCGCATGTCAGCACCATCAACTAAGTATTCAAAGTATTCAGCGAGCATTTTACTCAGATCCAATATGCATTTGGACAGTGCGTAGCAAACTAGTGATGAAAAACAAGTTGGGTTCCGGAATCTTAAAATTTTATTAAAAAAATGGTCTGAATGAAAACCATAACACAGATTTTTTCTGATTTTCTTCAAAAATCGGAACAATTTTATGTTCTTCGCTAAGTTGAGTCTACCTAGCAAAAATATTTGACCAGTTTTTTTTTTGCAACATTTCGAAAACTTTATGATTTTTTAAGAAAATCAACTACGATTGAAAAGAACTCAAATTGATTGTGCACTTGACAAGTTTTTTTCGAGATTAAAAAAAATGGCTGAAAACAACCCACTTTTCAGCTCTTCTCTGCTCCTAAAGAGTATTTGGATCAAAGTTTTTCTGAGCTTTTTAAGATAGCATTTAATGCAATTTAACTTAGGCTTAACAACTAACCATTCTAAACAATAACAAGATTACTCGTATGTACAGACCTTTGATTGATCGCCACCATATTTCGGTAAAATATGTTTTGATAAATTATAAATGTTACAACTTCAGTAGTCTTAGAAGATTTTATGACATCTTAGCTGGCCGCTTTTTAATGAGCGGTAACTAGTTTGTGCTAAATTTTCAGCATCATAGATAGTTATTCTTCCGACTTTCGATACGAAAGTAACTGAATATTTGTGCTCGGGGTGGGTTTTTTTCAGACAAGTTTTGGCTTTTTAACTAGCCATTTTTGACGGAATTTTTATTATCATTCAAAAGGTATTGTTGTCTTGAGCTTAAATTTGAAAAAAATATTTGACCTGTGATCATTTTTCGTAAAGTTATGGGGTTTAAAGATTACCATTTTGGCCAATTTGGGACAATTAACGCGCGTTATATTTAGCGCTATTAACGCGTAAGCGAGGATTTAATCCGTCTTAGATATTGTTCCAAATTGGTTGAAAGACGCTTATTTGCCATAATTGATTTGTTACAAGGAGCGAAATCCATTGTTTTGTTTTTTATATGGAGTGTGGTGGGATGGTTTTCATAGAAAAATTTTCAAATTTTAGAGAAAAAAATTCATTAAATTTTTTAATGTTGTTTATGTTATTACTGCTCCATAAACCTAAAAAGGCAGTCGGAACATTCATGGATTCGCTCTGATACGAGTAGTCTTGTTAATCAAAGTTTTAAACGAGCAGTTTATGTTGAGACGAACCTAATTGAGGATAGTTCGTAGCACACCCGCTTGGAGCCACCTAGAATCCACGTTCGACATCCGCTCAAAAAATTCGAATAGAGAATTTGGTCTGTTTACAAAACATGTTTTTTTAAAAAACCAATCCAGTTGGAGAAAACTTGATCAACAGGTCATTTTTTATTTTGCGGGGAAGTTTTATAAGAAAATCTTGTTAGGAACTTTCAGTCATTCACGTTTTTCAGCACAATTACCACTTTCTTTTTACAAACAGATTTTGAATTGAATTTAAAATTTTGAAAAGTCTAACTTCTACAATTCAAATTTAGAGTGATAAAATTTATTTGTTAAGCCGAAAAAAAAGAAAAGATAATCGCGACCCAAATAAGTGCTTTTACGGCGTTCATTGACTTTTAATAGCTTAGAACGTATCGTGGGGTGTATTAGGGAAGGAGGGTTGAAGAATAAAAAAACGTTTGCCAATATGTTCTCCAATATGTATAATTTTTTCTCAAAAATTACTCGAGAAATTTTATTTAGCAGTCGGCCCAATTGGACCAGTAGCGAATTTAGGTGCAGGGGCGTTGTTGGCGGATACCCTATCTCAGTGTATCCACCCCTTTGGCACTATTGTCCGACATCCATTTTTACCTGACGCATTACGAGGTCAGACTATAATTTTTGTGAATTGCAAGTGGATTCCGCAACGAGGACACTCTTTGTTCTTTTTTTCGTTCTTTCGTTTTCTTTGATTGTTCCGACAAAACTTCAACTTGTTTAAATAATTGTCTTTGTATTCAAGAAACCTACAAACAATAAATTTTGCGCCTATACAGTTCACAGCTTGACCTCGCATTGACGGACCCTAAAATTTTTCTACGGGTGCTTATGTCGACATTTTTTTGTAAATTAATTTTGAGTTTGAGGGTGAGGGCGTGAAAACAGCGCAAATATTTTTCCAACTTCGCTTTAGATCTTTTTAGAGCCGCTTGCCGCTCAGAAAGTTTTGGCAAATTGTGATTTTATATTAGAGTGTTTAGCAGAGCTTGAAAAATCAAGTTGGTCGATCTGAAAAAAGTCGACAACATTTTTAAAAACCCGACACCCCCTAGGAGAAAATCTTGTATCACATCCTTTAGTTTATAATATGTAAAAGTTTTTGATAAAAACTTGAACCACACTCGACCAACCAAACCTCATTGAATTCAAGAACTTTTGATCTAGAAAGAGGTTTTCTTTTTCAACACAGAAATTTCTTGGAGTATTGGCTCATGTTGTCTGCAGTACGAGTGAAAATTTTTCTGAAAATGAAAAAAAAAGTTCAAATCCATCTGAAACTTAACGGAAAAATGAATTTTGAATGCTATCAATTTAGACCTAGTTTTATATATTGACTTTTAAACTCTAATTATTACACATGTACAACGGCATTTGAACATATAATTTGAATAGATTTTATAAATAAGGTAAACGAGCAATGTGCGAATGAAAAATACAAAATTAGCTATCAAAGGGTTTTGGGGAAAATTAAGACTTTAATTGAAATAAGGCATTCGTTTTTCTGCAACTGCTCTCTCGGGCTGCATGCCACTCTTCGGCATTGATTGGTTCACCGAAGCCCGAACATATGACCTCTTTTTGCCTCCGGTGCCTTTTCCGAACGCAACTTCGTGGCTTGACTCGTCTTTCGCAGGCACCAGTTGGTTGTCGGTTTTCTCTCCTTCTGAACTTGAAGACAAACGAATGCTTTCGTTGTCTTTGGCTGATTTTGAGCTTTTTTGTTGTTTACGTTGGCTAGATTTCTCTACCTTTTTGCCCCTTTGGTAGACTGAATCTTTTTCGCTATTGTCATCACTGGCGTACATGTCCAAAACTGGGGGCCCTCTAAAACACATCAAGATCATTTGACTCATGGTGTAAAAATGATTTTTTTTTCTTGAAATTACATCATATTCCTTGTACAGCCGGTAAAACTTATCTGCAAACAAATATCATCAAAAATCATTGAAAACATTGTCTGTACTAGAAAAATTCCCAATAATTTGACTTGATTTAATCAATTTTAAATAGGTTTGATTCAAACTTGGAGAGTGTGTCCATATCCTCCTCTTCTTCCTCGTTGCCCTTTTTGCCACTCTTCCTCTGTTTCAGTTGTGGCCTTGTGGTCTTCAGCACCTCCACGAAGTAGTCATTATAAACGACCACCCGCGGCACACGCCAACACACTCTATTCGTACACGGCGGCGCATATCTGAACACAAACAAGATATAAAAACAAGATATACGTTAAGAAATAATGATACCTAGCGATAAAGATCTCGCTAAAAACGGATAAAAAGTTTCTTAATTTAAGATTAGTTTAAGAATATGTACAAGTACGGGTATCTGTACTATTAAGATGGTTTGGACTTTTAAGCTAAAAAAATGAGACTGGGATAAAAATCAAATTATTAATAAGACTTCTAAGCTAACTAAATGATTAAAACTCAGATTAGGATGTTTAGATTAGGTTGTTAACAAAAAGTTTAGTAAAGGTTAAGGAACGTTTAACAGGAGAATAACAATTTTAAGTTTTCAGGAGGCCTCTCGTTTTATTGCCCTGATTTTCGTCCAGCGTCTTAGCTTTTCCGAAGTCGTTGAGTGTCCCAAGTGGTCCATAGCTTTGATAGTTGAAGCCGTGTTCATCCAAACAGGAGTATCGTGAGTCAGAGGTTCGTTGCCCGGGTCGAGATCCCGCTCAAAAACCGCTCAAGATTTGAGCGGTTTGAGCGGTTTGGGCGGTTTGGGCGGTTTTTTTTGGAAAAACCGCTCAAACCGCTCAAATCTTGCTTAAAAAACGCTCAAAAACCGCTCAAAAACCGCTCATTTCTTGCGGTGATTTTTGAATGGTTTTTCAAGTAAGATTTGAGCGGTTTTTGAGCGGTCTTATACAGAAAACCGATTAAAACCAACAAAAAGGCCTTGAAAGGTAATTTGACCCCGGGTTGACCTCCATAGACCAAAAATGCTTATATTAAATTTCCCCACACCGAAAAAGCTTATCATACAATTGCCTGCATCAAATGTATGGAAACATGCTAATCATACAACTTTCATACAATTTCAAACAACCATTGAAAAAAGATTCAATCAAGTTTCTCCGGCTACAAAATGAGCGGTTTGAGCGGTTTTTGAACGGTTTATCTAAACAAACCGCTCAAAAACCGCGCAAGACTTGAGCGTTTTGATGTGTTTTTTTTAGACAATTACGCTCAAAATCTTGCTTCAAAATGAGCGGTTTGAGCGGTTTTTGAACGGTTTATCTAAAAAAAACCGCTCAAGAACCGCGCAAGATTTGAGCGGTTTTTGAGCGTTTTTTTTTAGATAAACCGCTCAAAACCGTTCAAATCTTGCGCGGTTTTTGAGCGGTTTTTTTAGATAAACCGTTCAAAAACCGCTCAAACCGCTCATTTTGAAGCAAGATTTTGAGCGTAATTGTCTAAAAAAACCGCTCAAACCGTTCAAATCTTGCTTCAAATTAGGTGAAAAATCTCGACTCGGGTGGGAGTGCCCGTCGGGTCATGCTGATTTTCTTGGACTCTCGGCTTGAATTTGACTTTCTTATGGGAAGAGCGTGTTGAGTTTTTTGAGAACAACTTCATCTTGCCCTCTAACTCGCGAAGTGGAAGGTCTCAATGGTGACTATCAGAAGTGGTGAAGTCTTCAAAAGGACTGGCTGGTTTTCCACCTTAATTGTTACTGCCTCCAAATTGGATAGCAAGGGGGTTTTAAAGCATGAGGATATAAGCTCAATTTTTTTCGCACATTAAAGGCTGTGGCCGTCTAGTCCGACGCGGTCTTGTGTTGTGGCTCATTTGCTATTTTGATATCTTCAGTGGTGGGGGGGATTTATTGAAGGATAAGCTTTCCGTTTAGCCTTCCTCGTAGGTTTCGGCGTAGAAGAGCACTGAGTAAGTTTTGGCTCGGTTACGGGTTTTTCACGGTCGGAACTGCCTCCTTTACTCCGACGTTTTTGCTTTTTTGACGGCTATTCATTTCTAGCAGGTTTTCCACGGTTTGTCGGCTGGCATCTATTTGGCGTTCGTATGTTGTATCCTGGCTATCGAGGAGAATCACAGGTAAGAAAGGAGATTGATCGGCGTCTGAGCTCGTCGTTTTAAGGCCAATTCGGGTCTCGGGGTCATGGCCTGATTCCTGTATTACTCTAGTTTCCTTGGTTTTGGTTCATCTCGCCTTATTTCTGTTGATCTATAAGATGAAGTGTCTGACGCTGGTCCAGGGTTGGATTGTGTAGGTGGCTTCAAGTTTCTCAGCAAAACTAGGTCACTAGTTTCATCGTTGGTAAGGGTCTCCATTGACATATTTATGAACGATTGTTCGGTATCTGACTTCTCGGCGTTTGGTTTTGTTCGGGTTGCCCTGATGAGGTTCTAGGTCAATGAAATTCTTGGTTTCGATTGGGGTTTTAAGTTGCCTATTTTGCTCGTCTTTCTCTCGCAGAAGGGTCTCCCATGAACTATTTATGGCCGCATTACGCCCGGCGATGTCGATTTGTTCAATTTTTGCCTCGAGGTTTTGTTTTCTCTGAGACGTCTGCAAGCTTTTAAGCCCAAATTTCCTAGCTGGCTAATTTGTTTTTCCTGGGTCCTTCCATAGCATAGAATTTTATTAACTGGTTATTTTTCCGAGGGCTCTTTTCCTTTTGTTCTACTGATCTTTTCACCACTAAATCAGATTTACAGAATTTTTTACCGCTCTTAAGAGTTATAGTATGATCTGATTTCCTCACTATTTCTTCTATAAATTCTACGGTTTGTCCTTTGTTCGATCCTGAGTTTTTTTTTATAAATGAGAGACCTTCGTGTTGTGACACTCAGTACGGGATTTGCTACTCCTAGCGCTTTTCGTTTCACCGTGAGAGAACCTTGACTGGAGAGCCCGAACTAGTAGCTACTTAGTTCATTACGTTAGTATTGTCGTCTGATGAGGATGAATCTTCGTCGACATGTCCGTCTTCAACCTCGTCAAGGGCGTCGCAGTCATAGCGTCTGTCCCGGCTCATCAGTTTCTTCCCCTATCTATGCATAGTAGTTTTTTTTCCAATCTAGATTTTTTGAGGATGGGTGTTTCACGAGGTGTCAGATAGTATTTGGTGCTCTACCAAAGTGAACTTCGAAGGGTGAGCAATTTAGAGATTGTTGTGTTTCGGTTCTTAAACAGTTCCGATAGAGTTTCAATGGGTTTAGTTTTAGAGGAGGTCTTGGTTTTACCTGTGCCATGACCACAAGTCGTTCATTGATTGTTCTAAATAATTTTTGGACCAAACATGTGGCTCTGTGGTCATCTACTGGGCTAAAAAGATGGTTATGTTTTGTTCCTGACAAAATTCAAGAACTTCATTTGAGATGAACTCTGACACTTGGTCCGTTCTAATAGTTCTAGGTACCCTTTGTAGAGCTATGTTTCTTCCAAAATGACGTTTATTATGATGTACCTTAATTATGATGTTCCACAATGATTTCCCATCTGTAGAATGTGCTGTTTTCGGTCTACGTCTATTGACTTGATAGTTTTCGTTAATACAAGATCTTGTTTTGTGAGGAGAGCCATGAATTTAGTATCAAAAATTTGTAGCACAGAAATTGGGAATAATTTGTTTTTATGGCTTTCGGGCTTTTATCTTAGATGGTAGTTTGACCTTTGGTTATACCCGTCGGGTTATTGTACTGAGTACAGTAGAGCGAGATATATTTAGAGAAAAGTTGTCTAAATTGGAGTGATTTTGTTCGATTGAATCAAAATGGTCTAACATTTCTTAAAGATTTTAGTTTGCAAAAAAATCAAAAATTTGACTGGATGGAGATCAGTTTTCTGTACGCGAATGAAAAACTTAGCACATTTAACTTTTGGAATAAGCCAAAAAAAAATTTTTGCAGCTTTGACAATTCGATTCTCGCGTTCAGTTTCTTGCGTTGTCAACTTATTATCTGAATGACCAATCTTTTTGCAGTATTTCAGATCATATGACTCCAACTGTTGAGAGATTTTTTCTCTTATTTCTGAACGAGAATATCTACGCATCGTATTTTTAAAGCCCAGAAGAAGGCTAATATGACTTACCGAGGCAATCATATAATTCTCATTGTCATATGGCAGAGTTATCGGTTCACCCGATGGTTGTCTAGACAAGTAACCTACAAATTCCTCTTCTTTACCCGGGAGGTGTTCAACAGTAAAATCATAAAGTAGAAGTTTGTCTGCCCAAAGGGTAAGCCCGGATTGGTCCGTTTTTGTGTACCTATTGTCTTTTAGGACCCTAATTAACGCTTTGTGATCCGTGTTGGCCTTAAAAGTAATTGTTGAAATGGTCTAGTGCCCATATTAAAACCAAAAGTTTGAGGTTATGAAATCGATTGGCGAATGTTACCATTTTCCAGATTCCTTCATGTTCTTGCTTGAGAGATGCGCTCAAAAATGAGATGCATTACATTTACTTTTGATCTAAATTTGACGTCAACGTCGTGATTTTCACCGTATTTCAAGTTTCTTTCTTGATTTTGTCGAAAGCCGCGAGATGTACACCTGACCAGTTTATTGGTTTTTTTTCATTAGTTCTGTTGATAGGGAAGCTAGGTTTTGGGTTATTGTTTTATATTGGTTAATTGAATCTATTAAAGATGTAATGTCTTTAATACATTTTGATCCTTTTAGATTGCAACTTGCATCAGATTTGTGGATCAGGGCATGGTTCTATTTGCATCGATCTTGAATCCCAACCATTCTTATTTATGGGTTAAGAAATTAAGTTTTCCCAAATTTATGGCTAAACCTCTGTCGTCGTGCAGAGTTTTCAAAACCTCTGTAACTATTTTATACTGGTTTTTAGCGCTACCAACTGTAGCAAATAAAATGTTGTCTGATTACCAATGTGGGCTTGGTAATTTCTCGTACAAGCGGTCCATTATTCGTTGAAACTAGTAAAGCCATAAAATCCTGTTTTGAACCGATATGAACCCCTTACGTCTCCTTTACTATGTGAAAACTACATTGACTACATGCTTTTCTTGACAAGGGTATCTGGATATAGGCGTATTTTAACTTTAGTGATGATAACCAGATTTTATCTGACCACTAATTGTTGAGGCGACGTTGTCAATTAGTTCAAACAAGTAGAGAATTTGATACTTATTATGGATTAACTGTTCGTTTAGTAGTTTTCAATTCAATACTAAATTAAAGGGTTCATCTTTTTTGTAACGTCCATTGGGGATATAAAAAACTTCCGACCATCTAGAGAGTTTTCTATATGGCCGTCGTTAAGTGATTGGTTGATGCAGTGTTTGACTTTTGGAAGAGGCGTATAGGTATGCGCTTGCCTTTTACCTGTATAGGTTTTAATGGTTCGTTGAAATTAATTTTTAATGTTACATTTTTTGATCTGCCTATCCTTGATACAAGGTCTTGGAAATTTTAAGATATGTTTAAAATAAACTCACAATTTTGAGCTGTGTCAGTGATTGAACCTGAAGGAATGTCTAGTTTAACTTTATTCTGATTTATTTTTCTGCCAACGGGAGTTTCCTTAGATGTCTGTGGTTGGAATTAAGCTCATGGACATCTGTTTGTACATCTTTATCTCAAGTTTTGGGGGAATTTCATTGCCACAGAATCTTTTTTGCACCTTCAGTGATATATAATTGTTGGTTTTTTGCGTCTGATTTTTTCGATTGGATCCTTACTACGACTTTTCCAATGATAATAGTAGTACGACGGCCTTGATAAGACTTTTTTCCGATGGTCTTGATAAAATTTTAGGCTAATACGTTCTCAGGGGTTAAGTATTCGTTACGCAGCTGTATTCCACGTTTCTAATATTTGCAAAAAAAACATTTCAAAGTAGTGATGTCTTTACGTCTCCTAATTTGCAGTTTTTGGCAAGTTACGATAGAACTTCATGAAATTTCTCCATTGAATCTTGATCTTTTTGTCATCGACCAAAAATGTGGATCTTTCATATGTTAAATCCGTAGTTATAGTGAATTTTGCTTTCTTCAAATCCCAGAACTCTGTAAAATTTTTGTCTGAAATCTTTTTTCCTGGATTTTTTTTGAGCCAGGCATTTTTTTAAGAATTTATCTTGCCAAGTATAATTGTGATTTTAGCTTTTTGTCTATATTTTTTTCAGACAAATGTATTTTGCATTATCCTCGGTTTTTCTCCTTCGCAGTTCTTCGTTATAAGCCCTGATTGCTTGTCTGTTTCTTTTTCTCTGTCTAACTGACGGGTTTTGTCTTCGGACGGCTACGATATTTCTGGAAAGGGTTACGTAAGCTCGGCCCTAGATGGTGGGTTTATCCCATCGTCAATATCAACGGAATCTTTGGCGATGCTTGTTAAATTTTTAGCTCATTTTTCCCAATCTTGGTGGTTTTTGCCAATGCGTTGTTCCAAAAGAACCCTAGTTATCGTAAGTTCGTCTCGATAAAAATTTTGCTACTAACGGATAGAAAATTACCTAAGCCTGACTAGCCAAGGACTACAAAAAAGTACGGGTTTCTCTGCAATTAAGATGTAGTAGATTTTTAACGAGGAATAGATTTTAAAAAAATTAGATAAAAAGAATTCTATGCTAACTAAATGATTAAAACTCAGATTAGGATTTGTGCAAATCAAGATTGGTTTTTCGAAAAAGAACAATAAACAATGTAAGATTGAAGATTGATCCAAAGGCGATGGCTTGTGGCAGGTATTTTAAATTACAATTTAGAACATGGCTAATGCTAGAAGTTACTACGCTTGTTTCACAATATTTATGAGATATGAAAACACGAGTTACAAAAACAGGAGATTTAAAATCACGACATAAAAAACGAGATATAACCTTACTTATTATTACATTATTATGAACTACAGTGAAGGTTCTTTTTTAAAGGCAACCATTAGGGTCGAAAGTTTTTTTGGCACCAAGGAGTTACTTGGTGTGAGGGATAATTTTTAGCAAAATTTCGTTTTGCAGTAGTTTAGAGTTACATTTAACCATTTTCTCTATGTTTTTTGCCTCGAGCAGGCACTTGAGAAGTTTAAAATTAACAATACGATGGATGATATTTTTGAAAAGTTAATGTTCACTATAGTGGGTCTTAGGAAACTTCCACGTCTCAGAGAAATCTTTATGGTTGGAAAAGAGTAACGAACGCAAGAAAACTGAAAAAAAAAATGACTCTTTGTTTTTTTTTTAAAAAACCTTCAACAATTGAAATTCTAAGAAAAAATAGATGACTTTGAGCCCTGTGAAGTTGTAGAACTAAGCATGATGGAGACTTTCCGTTAAAACTAACCCAATTTGAGAAAATTGGATCAATAGGCAAATTTTTATTCCACTTGGAAATCTGATAATTAATTTCCAATTTCGAAATTAGAAGTCGATCACGTTTTTCGTGATGTGTACACCACTTTTGCTGTTTGCTGTTCGATAGTGGAGTTAGCTTTCCGTTTAACAATGGAAATTCAGTGAACTACAAAAAAAATTTAAAGTCAAACCGCGAAAAACCAAAATTGAGCGTGAACAAAATTTAAGACTTTTTCCCGAAAAAACCACAAAAAAAAACAGCAAGACCTATATAAGAGTACTCACTACGTTCATTACTCTGAATAATATGATGAGGTCTTGCTGACATGATGAAAAATTTTGGCAAGATTTCCTAAAGTTTTTTTACACAATAAAAGATTCTTGTAAGAACTTGAATGGCACTATAACCAGGTGTATTAACCTGCCAGTGTCCTTGTACTTCTTGATCTTTCGGCCATCTATTGTGGACCTGATGTCCGACTTCTGTTTGGTGAATCGCAGTGCGGACTCCGTCTTGAACTTGGTCTCCACCCGAGGGATCAGAGACTTGTTCAAGTACACTGACGGAGCCACATTATCCAGGGGGTCATTCTTGGATGCTGAAGAGAGAACTCATTTACTGGTCATAAGTGCGGTAAAATATTAGGTTAGATTCTATTATATTTTGAAATTTAACTTGTTCTTGAAAATCACCACCTTGGAAGCCCCGCCTAGTCCAAAATAAACAACTCAAATTTCAAACAATTCGACCCAAAATGACTGAATTTTGGCTACGACATTGAATTTGGGGACAAAAAAAAAGATTTTCTGTTTTAAAGGCGAAGTCGACTAGGTCGAGGATTACATTAGGATTTTTAAAGTATAACGGGATCCTTTTTAAGGCTTTAAATGCAACTAATTTAAACAATGTTTGGTCTAATTACTTATTAGCTATTTCACTGCTAGTACGAAGCAGTCGCATTGCGTCCAAAAGGTCCAATAATCTCTTAATCTTAAGTAGTTTTACTTTAAAAGCGATTTTTCTAAAAAACTATCATATGGTTTCCTCCCGCGCGCAGATTTATGATGTATTATTAAGGGTAATAAGCAAAAAAAAATCAACATTCTGCCAAGTTGTTTAAATGATGTGGAATTGTTTCTGAAACACCAGAAAACCCATAAAATCAACCAGAAAAACGTACTCTGAAAACAGAAAGATGATGTAAATACCAGATAATGTTCTGCACCCTAAATAATGTACCATCAAAACTTTAAAGTTTCCAGATCATAATATAGATTTTCAAGGTAATACAGGAACACAACTAATTGATATTAACTCAATTATGAAATTTTTTTAAAATAATTTTTAACTATTTTTTGTAGTTCTGTAAAGTAATAGATAAAGGACATCTATATATAGAACAAAAGAAAATCACTTAGTGAAAATAATCAGAAAAAAAGAATTAGCAATGATGGTGTCTTATCTTGAGAGAACTCGTTTATTCCTTTCCAATTTTTTCCAGTCGTGGAGATAGAAAATGTTTGACAAACAACTCGCTAACAGAAGAAGTATTGTCTTGCATCTCTGAAATCATCTAAAAACCTTTTTAAACCTACCGACGATAAAAGTAAACTAAAAACCAAAAAAACTATCAAAATTAACGCTTTTACTATCGAACCTTTCAATAAAAAATACCATCAGAAACCAAAGATACAAGATTATTTGCCGTTTGCTACTTAAAAAATTCAATCGTTTGCACAAATGCGGAAACAAAACAAACTAAAATAAGAAAAATTTACAGCTTAAAAACAGGATTTTTTCATGAAAACAAAGCTGAATGTGCTGAATGTATCAATGTAAAGCCTCAAAAAATCCGAGCAACTTTTTCTTCTCTCAAAATTTTTTGTTTCGAAATTTTTCGAGTGTTTTTGATGATTGAAAACTCAAAACTAACGCAATAAGAAAAAAAACGAGTCATTAGGGCAATTTTTTATTACAGTGGGAAATCGAAACAATGAAATTCGCTCTAAAATTTAAGAGCCCCTTCACATCTTCTGCGTCATTTTTAATTTTGTTGATTTTAGTATGAAATCAAAAAATTATTTGCGAGCCTTTTTTAACAGCTGCTTTCCTGCAAATAAGTGAAATGCACTTGCAATGGAAATTTTTTGCGATGCACAATATTTTCAGGTGTTCAAAAGAGTAAAAATTGCTTACCAATTTATATTTTTAATTAATTCAACGGTCGACTTAATCTCGCACTTCTCTCCAACATTTGGGCTTAGTGAAAGCTCAAACCACGGGAAATTTTTGTGGAAAACGGAAAAAATTCTGCAATCAAACAAAATCATGTTGTTAAACGGGTCAACTGTGTTATTTGTTCAGTATTAGGACAGGCTCCAATCGTTGCTTTATATGATAACCAATTTGCAAAAAAAACACGCCCTGAATCGATTTGATTGCATTGAAAATCATTACTAGAGGCAAGAGTCTGGGTCGAGTAGAAATTCGAAATTAGAAGCTCGAGCATACCCAATTTCATTTTTCTAACCAATATATTTTAATATTTTTACTCAATAATTCTAGATCTTTCCATTTGAAAAAGTGATAACCAAGATTATCTCATGTATGTCTGCAACCTTCGTTTCCGACGCCAGTAACTTGTTTGTCGTTTATCATGGCCGTCAAATTGCTAGTGTAGTTGTCCGACCGCCTGATCAGCAACGTGTACACTATTATGATTAGCAGAAACAGCATTGCGAATACTAGAAATGTGATCACGACGGGCATGAAGTAAAGAGAATTCCCTTGGACATTATCCACGGCCGAGGCAACTTTCTGGTGCGATAGATTACAATATCATATCCCCTGTTCAAAAAGTTAACCTTCGTAAGCATAACCGCCATTGAAATCAAATAAATGTGTAAAAATCGATTTTTGAATGTTTATGGTAAACTTGATTGAATGTCGCTTAAGTTGAGTATTAAAAAAAATTTAAATCGACGCTGTCAAAAAGTGAAACGTGCCTGGGCCAGTCTGGCTCAAAGCTGAAATCTCAGTAGTTTTTTTTGTAAAGGAGCATTGGGCGCTATGCTATTTCAGAGGGGGAGGTCGCGTAAAAATCAACCAAATTTTTGTCCAAACTTGAAACTAACCGAGTAAACAATCAATTAAACGGCAATTTATACACTCAAATCATTATGAAAACATTGAACTTCGGAAACAAAACTATTAAGTTCCGAGTTTGTTATCTTTGTCCCCAAATGATTCAAAGCAGCATATTTTGCATGCAAAATTTGGCTGCAATAGCGTTTTTTCAAACAAGTTAGTCTTTTTAGGACAAGAGAGAGCTCAAAAATGCACAGTTTTGGCGCCTATTAATTGGGGTTCTTGATATTGTAAAAAAAGGCCGTCGGTTGATGTACTTGAGTTGTCTGGAGGGCTGTATTGCTGGAGGCTGAGGGGTCAGATGACGTCACAGGAGACACTGACACCGCAGATGACAGCTGCTGTGAGGGGTTATTATTGGGAGGAATATTGGGATTCATGCATCTGTCTCTATATCCATTTTAAATAAACTCACTATAGGGGACCTTTTCAGCGCATTGAAGTTCAATAAATGAGAACGGGAGTCGAGCTGTTTGAGTTTATCAAGGTAAGTTTTGTCGAAATATTGTAAATTTTGAGTCTCTCTATTAGTTAACTTTGGGTTAAATTTTTTAAGAGTTAAGAATATTGGGTTTAAATTTTGGCTGGGAAAAACTTTCGGGTTGTGAATACTCTGTACAAAAGAAGTTAAACTGTATTTGTGTTGTGTTTAAAATTGAATCTGACATCTTGGTAACACCAAAACTACATAAATTTAACTGGAAGTCAATCTGAAATCAAATGACATCAGAGCAAACAAAAAAAGCTCAGAAGTTATTAGAGCTAATCAAAGTTCCGATGAGCTGAAACGACGTGAGCTAAAACAGAGCTAACCAGAATTAAATCAAAGCTAGCCAAAAAATACTTAGAATTTAAATTAACCTGCAAACTTTATCCGGGTATTTGACAGACACTTTTCAGGCTTGAGAAAAAACTTGCGTGTTTCTGAAGTCATAGAACAGTCCGTGGTTCAACGAAACAAGGTACTTAGAAAATGGTCATAAAACCAGTTAAAACAAGGACAGTCGCTTCCTGTGAAAACAACACAGAATGAAACCTCCTTGTTCTATAAAAAAAATTTTTTTGAAATCAGTCAATTATCTATTTGGTTCATTTTTTCAACATTTTGTTTCGTTTAGGTCCACAATTTACACTACTAGCAGAGTTTGCACATAGCTAGCCAATTTCTCTTCATTGTAGAACATCCACAAATATTTCTCTAGGGTAAGAAATCATGTATCTGAGCCAAGACTCCTTCACTTGGTCCTTGTTACTCGGAAGCGCACACTGGAAGCACGGAGCACGGTTAAAGACAGTCGGCACTTCACCCAGTTCATAGTTTTACTATAGGGTTTCTCCCACTTGGTAGATAATGCTTCTCCTATTCTCCGAAGGAAATTTGCAAATTCTGGAGCGAGCATCCCATCAACAGACACGACAAGAGGAGTGAAAGACATATGTCTTTCCTGACACGCGTCTGAAAATTTTGTCTTTCTCTCAACCTCTACTGAGTGCAAAACACTCATGGGGATTCTGTTCTGATAGGAGATGGCGTCGGTGTCAGAGACACGAATATCAAAAGACGCTCCTCCCTGTCCAACATAAACTCCACGACAAAACAAATCTGCAATTAATGCGGGTGTCTCATCTTGCGGGTTGTATTCTCTAATAACAGGCTCTCTCTGTACATCCTTCCACACTAAAAAAGCTAAGTCGCCTACAGCATCCCTAAATTCATTGTGCCGTAAAGTTAAGAGACCACATTTTTTGCACGCTAACGCATGCCGAAGGTTGAATGGTGACTGGTAACCATCACAAAAGTTGGCAGAGCGTTCAAGTTTTGTTATACCGGACACTCAATGCATCCCGAAACTCCTCCTCCGAAAGATCAAAATTTTCTGCAGCAATCGGTAACGCTGTCAGCCAAGCAGACAAGCTTCCTTCATTGATTCTTTTTGAGTACTGCTACTAAGCCTGATATCGTAGATGCAAAACTAATCACACACTCGGAGTTGTGCATCTTGCGCTGCGGGAGTTTGCCCATTTTATCCAAATGAACGCTCACAACTGTGCGAGGTTGACCGCACTTTCGCTCAAGTTACCACAATATGCGAACTCAGAAAATGCGGTTTTTGCCTCACCTCAGAGTTTTTAAGTGCGTAAGCTTTACACCAATAATCAAGTGTGCGGAATCTACTGTGCTCCTGAACTGCCCGAATCACTCGTACCATACTAAAGGACAACCATTGAACTGGGTAAGCTTCCATTCAGGCAATGGGTCTTTCCTGGTTATGGAAAAAATGACGGCTAAGTCTTCAAAAGTTACATGCTCAGATTTGAGAAAAGATTATGGAGGAGACGGGTGAGTGGAATCGGTTGGAAATGTTTGCACATGTGCGTAGACTGGAATTTGAACAGGCTGTTGGAAGCCAACCGAATGTGTTGACATACTTTGAGGTGCAGTATAAAATACAGCGACATCGCATGGGAAAGGTGTGAAATTATTGATGCTTAAAGGCCCAGCATTTTGCATTTCATTGTTACAAAAAGACACATCCAAAAACTGACTAGAAACAAGCACCTTGTGTGACATTCTAGATTGGTAGTTGAAACCAAATGATGATGGTTGTGTGCTTGAAGGAAACGTTTGGCTTTTCAAATTAACGAAAACAAATGCATCCGAATTAAATGCGTAGTTTGAAGCAGCTCTTTTTACAGTCATCGACGGTCGAATGAAAGATTTTCTTTGAGAAAAGATCTGTTTTATTACCTTATTGGAGCTTAAAGGGTCGGAAGACAGCGGAACACTTTGTATACATGACAGTACAACCGCTGAAAGTTGAGAAACTACCAACAAACTGCTTTGTGTACGAACAAAAAAGCCAGGTGCTGTTGTTGCCACCCCAAAGAATGGTACGTTACCTTGAGTCGCCGTGAAAACCATACCAGCAAAATTTGAATCAGCTGAACTAAACAGAACTGATGAGCTGACTATCGAAGGTCCAGCCTTAAAGCCTGGGTTTATCAGAGCTACATTTGCAATCTTCGGTGTTTTTTTGTCAATTCCATCAGCATTAGGCTTGCCGCTGGCCCCTGAAAATTGAGTAACAGCTGGTAATTCAGACTTGTGAGTATCGTCATCGGTTTTCTTGAGGTCGTCTTGAAATTCAATTTCAGCTGTTTTGGCCTTCGGAAGCTTTTTTGTTCTTTTCAGCTAATTTTTGAATTGAAGTCTACTTTTTTCTCTAATAATATGATATTGCAGTTCCTCTTTGTACCTCAACAATTTTTTTTTATACTCCAACTGATTTTGCTCCATTTCTCATTCTATCTTTTGATGATGAGCTTACATTTTCCTCCTCTCTAATTCCAGTCTGTCTTGCTCTTCTCTCATTTTCCAAATTACCTCATTTTGCCTTTCTGTCTCATCTTTTTGCAGATTAGCAACATCGTTTTTCCACGTTCTTTCTTTCTTTTTGGCGGTTAATTGAACTCGTCTTAGATCTCATCGTATGAAAAAGACTAGATCGTAGAGACACAGCTGTTAGAGATCTTGCTGGGACTTTTGATCGTTAGGATTAGCTTCAGTGTCAGCATCTGAGGACATGCAATCAAGGTAAGACCTGATGTTGGATCATTTGTTCATTCACACCAAATAACTGGCGTAAATACGCTCCCAAATCAATTAAAAGCTTGCTTGGTCATGACAAATTTTCGCAAAATTCGTCAAAGCTTCATTCCTCGAGATCGTGTTTTCAAATACACATTAGCACTTTTCTACCACAGTCTCAACTCTCACACTTCTCTTCTTAGCCTCTTTTGCCTTTTCCACGGAGCTATGAGTGTCAAACAACTTGTGTTCTTTTTAATTTGTCTCGCCTCATATAACTTTTTAATTTCAGCTGGAAGTTTTTCAGTTATAACTAAACAGTTATCTGGAAAAGAAACTCAACTGAAATTGGGTTTTTGTATACCAATACTTGCCGGTTTGTTCAGGGCACGGCACTACTAATCAGCTAATAGTTTGTGTTGGTTTCTTTCTTCCTTTTTTAAATGTGGGATCCAGCAAACCATGACTAGAGGTACCAACAACTACCGTGAGGGAACCAGTGATGGAAAATTTTCAGGACACGAATTGCTTGATATAAGGCTACAGGTCTGTAGAAATTAGAACTGGACGAGTTTCAAAGACTCGTTCGCTAATTTTGAGATTTTTTTTTAGTGTTTCGTGTTTTTTTCAACATCTATCAAAAAATTTTCTCGATGTTTTTTGGTGCCGCGTCATGTTATTTCGTTATTATCATCACCGTGGCAGTTTTTAAAGTTTTGCCAAACTAGACCAAAAATTTGAAAATTTTTCATTTCTGGAGTTATTGTTTGTTTCCCAATGAAACTACGTGGACTTTATGACTTTTTGTGACATTTTTCGATTTTTTTTGTTTGGGTTGTTTTTTGTAGTGTTTTTGGTCGGTTTTTGATCCATGTAGGTTATAGGGATTGGCTACTAGGTTCCAGTCAGAGTAGGTCACCCTAATGACTATAGTTTATTATTCAATTTATAAGAACCCAAATTTTCAAAAAAAAATTTTTTGTGTTTTTAGCAAGTTGGTTTTATGACAATATTGTGATTTTTATAACAATATTGCCACATTTTTGCTGTCTGTTTTCAGTGATATACTTTCACTGCAACAATTCATAAAAAGTTAGAATATACAGACAAAAAAAACTAAAGTTTTGGATCGGTCCAACAAGTTTTCTGTTGAGCTGGCTTACCTATCAGTCGTCAAACTCCGATTGCAGTCTTTCGACTTCACGTCCACGTAGTTGCTTCCAAACCATAACAACTCACACCTTCATGGGATATTGGAGGTGGACCATTGAAATTGCTCAAACACTTGACCCCACACAATGATATATACTCCGAACGCACTGGAATTATGTCGCCCAAACGTTTCCCCTTACAACTATTGTCTTGGCAACTTGATCTGATCACTCGGCTGTTGAGGCTGGTGGAAGGTTAGGCAGTTATGTAGGCCTCTAAGAGTGAGGTCGCTCTTTGTTGACTGAAGTTGAATATCGTGGTGAAAAGAGTATCTGCAGCGTGGAGGATGGAACCACTCCACCGTTCCGTTTTTCAGGAACCTGCTTTGGCTTTCAATGTTCAGTGTTCGAGTAAATGGAAAGAGAGCCACGGGATACAAATGCAAATTTCGGGGTCGCGGCACCAAATAGTGACCGCGCTCAACTCAAAACTCTAAAATATTTGTGCCAAAACAACAAAGGTATAGCCAAATTGAATTAGTTCAACCAGAATTAACCAGACGTCATAAATTGCAGAATTTGTTGATATAAACGGATAAACGTTTTTTAACAATGTTTAACAAATCGGCACATTCACGAC